TTTTTTTTTTTTTTTGGAAAGAAGAAAAAGAATTTCATTAATAAAAGATAGTCAAACGACACTTACAAACAATCCCTAAGAAAATTAGAATTCCAACACAAACACATATTACCTTAGAACTAGATATATCGCAGATTTGATCAACGATCGCCTTAATAAAAAACTTCATATAAAATAATACAATCTGTGAGTTAGCACTAATTCAGCTTGAGGTCCACTAATGAATAGATGTTTGAGTGAAAATACTTATATGGTCTTCTAGATACTTTCGGAGATTATAAACCCTAAATCTTCAATTTTCGGCAGACAAACTAATGAAATTAACCCTAATAGAATAAACATCATCTCAAAGATGGTATCCATTTATTGAAAGCAATTAATAAGTTTTTACTGATCTAAATTTATTTCTACACAATATTATTTTTAAGAGATACTCCCACCGTCTCATTATATAGTTCCTGTTTCTATTTTTAGATAGTATTTAAAGACCATTATACCGTCACTTTTTTAACTTTATTCATTGTACTTCCTAATTTACCCTTGAATTTTACATATGCCTTATACTTTTTTCTACTTTCTCTCTTTAACTTTTGTCTATGATTGTACTTTTCACTTTTATTAATGCAGTTCATCCACTTTCTCAAATACCATGAAAAAACACAAACATAAACTATATTATGAGACGGAGGGAGTAGTAAAAACAAACTTATTTTTAGAAATGCCCACTGAACAGTTAACGATCTGAAGAATAAGCAACAAATAGGGGTGGGACTTTTCAAACCGAACCGTAAAACCGTCCGTTACCAAACCGAACCATCACGGACCGAACCGTTTATAACCCGCTAATTTTAAACCGAAAACCGAACTGAACCGTATAATGTCAAACCGAAACCGAACCGAACCAATTAATGTTAACCCGTTACGAACCGTAAACCAATAACAAACCAAACCGTTTATAAACCGAAACCGTTTGAACCGATTAATGTTAACCCGCTAACTAATTAAACCGAACCGTTTATAAACCGAAACTGTTTAAACCGTAGGAAAAAACCGTTTAAATCGAACCATTTACAACCCGCTAACCGTTTAAACCGAACTGTTATAACCCATTAAACCGTTTAAACCGAACTATTTTCAAACCGCAACCCGTTTAAACCGATCCGATTACAAACTATTTAAACCGAACCGTTTACAACCCGTTCCATTCAAATTGAACTATTTACAGCCTTTAACAATTTGTTAGAATTCCACGAAATATATTTGATGTTTAATGTAATTTAACAGTACAATTTTTTTTACATATAATTATTGATTTAAATTTGTAAATTTTTTTGCTATTATAAAATTAAAATTATATTCTTGTATAACTAAATTAGGAGTTATAAATTAAATAAAAAAATGAAAAAATTTGGCCACCCACCCACCACCGTAACCCACCCTAACACCACCCCCGCCGTCACCCCAGACCCACCCTAACACTACCCCCCACCCACCACCGTTACCGTAACCCACCCCCACCCCACCACCGTTACCGTAACCCACCCCCACCCCACCAACGTCAACCCAGACCCACCCTAACACCACCCCCGCACCCACCATAATTACCGTAACCCACCCCACCCCACCCCACCACCCACCGTAAATAAAAAAACCCAGACCCAAACCTTACCCAACCCCATCCACCACCGTCACCGTAAATAATAAAAACCCAGACCCATACCCCACCCCACCTACCACCATCACCGTAACCCCACCCCCTTAACAAACCCCCACCCCACCCCACCCACCACCGTCACTGTAAAAAAAAAAAAAAAAAAAAAAAAAAAAAAACAGACCCAACCCCAACCACACCCACCACCGTCACCGTAACACACCCCACCCCACCCCATACAAAAAAATCGAAAAAAAACCCAAACCCACCGTAACCCCACCCCACCCACCCCCACGAAACCCAACATCCTCGAAACCCCCCAACTCACTCTAATTGCTCACCCACCATAAAACTCCCTCCCTCCCTCGAAAAATCCTCCCTCCCCACCCACCCGAACCCAGTCTAACCGCCGCCGCACCCACCCTAACTCGGCCCCCTCCGTTGCCCACAACTTGAAAAAAAATTAAAAAGAAAAACAAAAAATAAAAAAAGGAAGAACGAAAACACCTTATATATTAATCCTGAATTTGGCCTCGAATTTGGTTTGAAAAGGCCAAATTTGATCATGAAACAACTAGATCTAGAGTTTCGTGGTCGAATTTGACCATAAAAACCGTCGTGCGTGGTGCCGGTGGACGGAGACGGAGAAACGAGATGGAAGAAAGGAGAACATAGACGGAAGAAGGGAGAAGAAGGAAGAAGAAGAAAGGAAGAAGGAAGAGGAGATGAGAGAGAAAACGAGAGAGCAGTGAGCATATTAGCAGCCATGGCTTCAAAAATTGATAATATTACAGAAGAGGATTAAGAAAACGAGAGAGAAATAAAAAAGAGTACTAAAGAGACGATGGTAAGAGTGATCTGATTGGTGAAAAAGAAAACACACGGATCGTGAATTGGAATGTGTGCGATGATAGGTCGTTAGATGACATGCAAATCAATGGCTGATATTTAATATAAGACGGTGACACGGATCATGGGATAATGGATTTGGATAATATGTTTTTTTTTATTCATAGCTACGTACTAATAAAAACACTACTGTACTCTTAACTTTATGTAACTTATAAATTGTAAGAAACACAAATGTTTGGAAATTGGAATTGATTCAATATGACATATTTAATGTATATTAGTTATATGTATATCAGTATATGTAATAAATAATAATGTATGGTACGATTGGTATCATACTATCATTGGTATGTATAGATAATCGATAAATGTATCTGATTATTAAAACTTAAAACAGTTGATGATCGATCTAATTGAATACTTCTACTTCCCCACCCGTTTTCTTTAACTTGCAAGTTGCAACATATATATGTTGCAGCCTTGTAGGCACGTAATCTTAAAAGGTGATTAGAGAGAGTAAGACAACAAAGTAATTCAACAATATAACTTTAACACCAAAATTATGGAATAGTTACAAACAATTGTCAATTATTACTTTATTAGACTAATGGGAAATTGAATAATCGTGATTTTAATTAAACATCCAAATATAGTTCCGTAACATTAAATTATTAGTTTATTACAATATCAATTATCGAGTTATCGTATTCAAAGTACCAATTCATCAAATCACGGTTATGACGCGATCTTTAAAACAAGAAGCTGATAGCCTGATAATATTTGATAATGAAACAATAATACATTAATACCTTATAAATTTGTAATAGACTAATATTTAATAAACAACAACAAGACTATAACCAAATTTGAAACATAACACATTAACATGATATAGAATGAATGAGAATTTCTGTAATTCTATATAATCTGATATCTGAATCGATTTATCGTATTCAAAGTAGCAACTCATCAAAACATGGTCATGACACGATATCTAAAACAATCCAACAAGAAGCTGATAACCTAATAATATATATTTAATAATGAAACAATAATACATTAATACATTATAAATTTGTAATAGACTAATATGATAATATCGAATAAACAACAACAAGAGTATAACCAAACTTGAAACATAACATATTAACATGATATAGAATAATTGAATAAATGAAGATTTGTGTAATTGTATATAATCCGATGTCTGAAAATAAAGTGACGAAGTCCCAACTTTATATAAAACGAAAATAGCTAACCGGTCAAAAATCTCTTAAAACCCAATTTCTACTCGATCCATTATTTTTTTCACCAACCTATGCCGACCCGCTAATGAAATGGAAATACTAGTCCCAACTTGATATAAAACAAAACGCGCTAACTAGTTAAAACCACTTTTTAGAACTCGATTTCAACCCGATCCAATTTAACCGATTACCAAACTAACCCGAACGATTTTAGCACCAAACCGAGTATAAACCGAACCGATATGAATCGAACTAGCATTAACCCGGGTAAACCCGCCCCTGAACCGACCCATTTTAAAATAATCCGTTCATGACCCGAACCGATATGAACCCGGACCGACGTTGACCCGGTAAAACCGCCCCTGAACCGATCTGTTTCAAACCGGTCAGATCATGACCCGAACCGTTTATAACCGAACGGGCATTGACCCGGGTAAACCCGCCCCTGAACCGACTTGTTTCAAACCGACCCGATTATTAACCGAACCGTTTAAAAACCGAACCGGCATTGACCCGAGTAAATCTGCCCCTGAAGCAACCCGTTTCTAACCGATCTGATTATGACCCGAACTGTTTATAAACCGAACCGTTTATGACCCGAACCGAATTGAAATCGTACAAAAATAAACCGAAACCGAACCGACCTGTGACTAATCAAAACCGAACTGAATCGACCCGCCGTCTAAATGAAACCGTTTTAACCCGAACCGTTTCAAACCGAAACCGTTTCAAACTGAGGTCAAACCGAACTGCCAGACCGAAGTCCCACCCCTAGCAACAAAGTATGTGTTCAAGAATGCAACTTTTCTTTTCTTTTTAGGAACGATGGCGATTTCACATTGCCGGATGGTGGAGCGCAATCAACGTTTAAAAAGGCGAACTTTCTATATTGTTATCGAGGTATGTACCTTTCCATTTATTTGTTTTAGTTATTATAAGGAGAGATTAAGCTTCAACACTTGTCCCCAGAAATTAATTATAGGTGAGGTAAAGATTCAAATCGTGAAAAACAGTCCTAATTTTAAATGATGTGCACCAAGTGTTTGTGAGAATGCCACAGAGAAAATGTGAGAGATTCAGAAGTTATGGAGGTCAAATTTGTTGAATATTAACAACTAGGAGATTAATGCCTTAACAAAATTTTTGTCTAGTCAGATATTCGCTTTTATATGTTGGGAGTTTAATTACTGTAATTAAGACCAACTGTGGATACAAACTGTTTAATTAGTGTATTATAGACTAAAGCAAACTTGTGAAATAAACTTGTTCAATCAAAGAACAGAATTACAACGATAATAACTTCATAACTGAGATGCAATACAACAATCTGTATGCCTTCTTATCTACGGAGTACGAGTACTATCGAAATGTGTACATAAGAAGCAATTTGATTGAATAGTGCTGCAGACAAAGTCTGCAATGTGTCTTTTCAGACTTCACCATTCCCCTGAGTATTTATAATAAATTGGCACTTTGGCTTAATTATTTGCAGAAAAGCTATATTTGCCTGTAAAGCAAGTTAGGTAACCTTTACTTGGACCAAGAGATATTTTTGGTTTATGATTCATGATAGAATCAAGCTCCAAATCTGTCACATGGCTGATCATTTGCCAATACTTGCCTTCTACTTCATTGTTGCATTGTTGTGTGAGTAGAGAGCATCCTCGAATGCGTAAGTGCCGGAGGGAGGTGGGAAGTCCGTCTTCTGGCAAAGATTCAAGTTTGGGACAGTCCTCCAGGTATAGATCTTTAAGGGATGTGAGACTTGCTAGATAGTTTCTTGTAGGAAAGGATTGCAGCTTGAAACAGTTTTCGATGCTCAAGCATTCAACTGATGTTGGAAGCCCTTCTTCTGAAAACACCACCAGCTTTTGACATCCTGAAACAGACAGAAACTTCAGGGAAGTGAGGTTTTGCAGTGAACTATCTTCACGAGACAAACAAACAAGATCCTGGCAGTTGTGGATGTACAAAGATTTCAGCTGAGGAAGATGTGGCAACTTGGGTAATGAGGCAAGGTTAGTTATATTAGAAATAATCAGCGAGTATAAGGAGCCTGTACTCGGTATTGCCTCTATCAAGCTTGAACCATTGCATTTGTCTATTTCCAGACACTGAAGACGTTGGTTGAGCTGTGGGAGTGTCCTTAGTAAAGGGCACCCACTTATCTGCAGTTTCTGAGGTGAAAAGATTTGTGGCATGCCCTGCAACCTTGGACAATTGACTATACTCAATTCCAGAAGTTCCATGAATGAATACCGTTGTATATTTTGATCTTGACCGTCATGATTCCTTGTAACGATCTGCATAGTTGCCTCTTTCCATTCCTCTAGCAAGGCATTGTTCGTGAGAATCAAAAACCTCACAGCTGGCATCACTGGCAGAGCCTTCAGAGCATCACAGTGCTTGATTTTCATGACCTTGAGGTTTGGGAAGATGCATGGAAGTTCCCGCAACTGTGGACACTTACTAATCTTTAATCTCATGAGGGAAGGATATATTGTCTCTGACCATTCATCCAACTCTAGCATTCCTTTAATGCAAAGCTCCTGAAGGTGTGGCAATGGCCCAAGAGAGAGGATTCTACAACTTGCACAATGATTCAAGGAGAGCTTGTATAAGTTCACGAGCATTCCATTCCCCATCCAACTTGAAAGTCTGCTTCCTTTGTACTGATGTATGTGGAGCTGTCGTAGGCTTTGATAAGGTTCAAGATCTTCAAGGATTGTATCTTGCTCTGTTTGATCTTGTGAATTGGCAACCTCCTTGCTCCATTCAAGTATCAACTTAGTAATGCCTACCTTTTGTTTGAGCTCTGCAGCCTTTGCATCTGTCGAATTTTCGAGTTTAGAAATGTGTAGCGTACCTTCTAGACTGTTCATGCTCTTTAACTCCTCAATTCCATATCCTCTCTCCCGACGAACATGGAAAGTATGTAAATTATGCAAATTGGTTATGCCTCCTATACTTGGGGGCAATGTGGAGCACTTGTACCAAAACATCTCATCTAGCTCAAGATATCGTAGATTTTTTAGATTCCCAAGGTCCTTTGGCAATTCCAGAAGCCAAAGACACCCTAGGAGCTTTAGAATTTGCAGATTGGAGAGGTTGCAAATGGTGTTGGGTAGTGAACATATCTCAGTTCTTGATAAGTCAAGGTACCGCAGCAACTTCAGCTCCCCTATTGATTTCGGCAGATCGGTTATGCTGCTTGAACTGAGATCTAAAACCCGCATGTACTTCAATGCATGGAACATCTTATCAAGGGTACGGCCAAAATCTCTGGGGTGACTGATCGGTAGTAGTAAAGTGCGCAACTTCTTAGCTTTGAGAATCTCTTGTGCAGGCTTCTGAACATCATTTTTACAATTAAATGATACATAGCGCAAGGTCTGTTCAATAGAGCAAGGATTGTCTTCTTCAACATGCTGACAACAACTTGAGATAGATTTCGCTAAATCATGAATTAGATCATGCAACTTGTACTGTACCTGACTGTCAATGTCTAAGATCTGAAAGAAGGATCTCGTTAGCAACTCGTTGAAATAATCACTTCCAGCTTCCTCCAGCTTGTTTTCTCCTGTCAGTTGGATGTAACCTTCAGCTATCCACAGTTTGACTAGATCATTTTTGTCAAACATATGGCCTTTTGGGAATATGTAACAGTATGCAAAACACTGCTTGAGTTGAGTAGGGAGATGATCATAACTCAATTTCAGAGCAGGCAGAATGTTTGGACCGCCATTTCCAAGACTGGATTGCTCTGATTCCCAGATACCATTTCGCAGGATTCTCTGCCATTGACTAACATCATTATTCCCACGCAAAAGGCCTGCCATTGCCTTCACTGCTAGAGGGAGGAAATTGCACCTGCGGATGATTTCTCTCCCTATCTCTTCCAAATCTTTTGAATATGCCCCATTTGGGGAAAGGCTCGTTTTACAAACAGGTCCCAGCAGTGTTCCTCTGGCAAATGTCCCAAGGTATGTGTATGAGTTGCGCCCATAATCCTTGCGACATTGGCATTTCTACTGGTAACCAAGACTTTACTTCCTTTTGGACATTGCTTGAGGAACTCATGAAGTGGTTCCCAGTCTAATTTCTCAACCCACACATCATCTAATACAAGCAGGAAACGTTTTTCATTCAAGACTTCCAGGATATGAGGCTTGATTGAGCTCTTAGGAACCTTATCATGCCTCATCTCTGTGAGGATTTCAACCATCTCCCTAAGGATCCTATCCACGCTTGAATCCACTGAGACATTAACCCACATAGCAACCTTGAAATGGCATGCCTCATCTCGCTTTTTATAGACCCTAGCATCATTATAGGCCAGCTGAGCGAGGGTTGTTTTTCCTAGGCCTCCCATACCAATGATGGGCAGCACAGGGATACACCCATCGTTGTCAGATTCTTCTTCCGAGAGCAACCATCTAACAACCTCATTTTTCTCCTCTTCCCTGCCAACTATGTCTGATGTGTCCCTTAGGAAATCCATTTCGCCCAGGCCAATCCTAGTGGGTTGATGTGTCCAATCTTTTCCACCATAGTCCTTGGGCCTGAAATGGAATTTATTCTTTTCTTGGGAGATCATTTCGATCCTTGCCTCAATCTTCTTGATCTTATTTGCAGCATCTGATCGAGAAGAAATCCAGGCAAGTGGGGCAGGATACCTCTGCTTTTCTCTCATAGCAACCTCAGCAGCATAAGTTTCCAGTATATCCTCTGCATCCAGGGCTGCATCTCTAAGTTTTGTCAGCCAATCTACTAGCTGCTCGGATTTTGAATCTGAACAGCAGTGCTCAGCGTCCTTAAGCGCTGCTGAGATAAAGCTTAATTTGCTTGTTAGCTTTTCAATCTCGCCTTCAACTCCATAGAGTTTATCATACTTGTTCTTGCTGAAAGCATATGCTAACTCTATTACTTTTGTGATTATAGGCTCTGCCAGAAGTGACATCGGGTCAGACATTGGTCTGATGTCTCTTCCTAACAGAGAATCAATCAGATATGGAACAAGAAAGTGTACAAGAGGTGGCTAAACCAAAGAACTGTACTGCAGATTTGAGAAAGAAAGGTTGTGGAAATTTTTGAGGTATAAAATTTAGAGGAAGTGTGAAAATATTTAATTTTGGTTTGTGAGATGAATTATACTCGGATGTTAAACTACTACCTATTTATAACGGAAAAAAAAGATAGTTTCTGAGCATTTTCACATTGGGAATTGTAAACACGTTTTACTTTGTTAATGGAGAACAAAGTGCTTGACATCGCTTTACTTTGTAAACAAGTTTTTGTCACACCTCTTGACATGAGTCATAATGAGTGAGAGTAGTACTAGGATGAGTTACCTCATGGGAAGTAACATTGGGAATTGTAAACACGTGTTACTTTATTAATGGAGAACAAAGTGCTTGACATAGCTTTACTTAGTAAATAAGTTTTTGTCACATTGCTTGACATGAGCCACAATGATTGAGAGTAGTACTAGGATGGGTGACCTCCTAGGAAGTCCTCATGTTGGTTCATGTAGCCTACTCTACTTATAGAATTAAGGCGTTCAAGAAGAAGAAGAAGAATGGAGAACAAAGTCTTAATCGTGTTGATTAGTTGCTGTTTTTCGAACAGTGACTACTCCTGCAACTTGCTATATATGTAGTTTAAAGACTGGCACGGTCTTATGAGTCAAAAACTTAAATTATAAGTGATGAGGAAGAAATTATTGAAGACAAAGGAACTGTTCCTCGAGCACAAGAGAAAGGTTAGAAATTATAATAGGAAAAGTATGAACTTAATTAGCCAAGAAATACCATTCCTTCTTTTCAATTTTCTTCTTGTTTTGATATATTTGTGATATCACTGTGTCTGACAAAGGTTATATGATGTTATATACAGAAAAAATGGGTAGATAACAAGGATGGAAGCTGTGGTTTCATGTTATACGCACGATCCCTATTTATAACTTGGGGTCAATCTTGGTATTGGTCTTGGAATAGCTTCAAAGATACCGAGTAAGTTATCTTTAATCTCACTTGCATACGTTGGTGTTAAACTGCTCAAATCATAACTGTATTATTTAGAGAAGCTATACTATGTTACTTGGACTCGGATACCCATGTCCGACACTGGTACGTGTCCAAGCATCTGGCTCGGCTACTTTGTGAAAAAATTTCATGATTTTAAACTAAAAGTGAAGTTTCTGAATGTCATAACCATGTCCGAGTATTGAAGGTCTGATACATTTGTGATTTTGTTTGCTAATCGACAGTGATGAAAATATTGAAGGTCTGATACATTTGTGATTTTGTTGGCTAATCGACAGTGATGAAAATATTGAAGTTGCGAAGCTGATCAGTGTGTGCTGGCTAGATGTGCGAGGTAAACTGGCTATGAAGGAGCTCTCACCAGGAGTAACTTATGAGGTTGTGTACGTAGTTAAGCTGACAAAATCAGCATCTGGGTGGGAGCTTCCACTTATGCTGAGATTACATGCACCAGGTGATGAAATTAAGGTAAGGCAAGAAAGCTTGCTGATGAAACCAAAAGGAGAATGGTTTGAGCTGAATTTGGGCAGTTTTCAAGCAAAAGCCGATATAAGTGATGAGGTGTGTTTCGATATCTTTGAACGTGGCGGTCACTGGAAGACCGGGCTCATCATCAAAGCCGCCATCATTCGACCCAAACACTAGCTTGTTTGCTTATTTGTGTGTTGTTCAGTTGTTTAGACAGTGATCAAATTGGAATTTTGTGAGTTAAGATTTGCAAAATATGTAATGGGTGTATTGATTTATTTCTGTGTATAAAATCTTTAAATTATTTCAGAACATTCCTACTTCATAATTTAGAATATGACAATGTGATGGCTTAGTTTACCGACAGTCTTTGCTAATTAGGTAGTAAGGTACTGTAGTCTATAAGTAGAATCTTTAATAATCATGCTAAAGCACATTATATTAGTACACACAATGTCTTCTTCAATGTAATTACAAGTAAAGTTGTGAACTTTTGAAGGGTTTTTTACTTAAAGAATGATATTAACTACTTAAATACTTCGGATTACCAATAATTGTAAGCCATGTAAAGTGACAACGTATGCATAGGTAAATTTGATTTTATGTTGCACTTCCATTATTGTGTGATGGTCTCCACCAACAATCAAGAGGCCCAAAGTATGCAAATTACAAGCTTTTTTTATTGCTTTTTGTTCTTCTAGTTTGTAAGAGCTAACAGCATTACAAAGCATATTTTAATAATAACGCTGTGTTTTTAAAAGTTCTTTCCATTTGAATTCTTGGTACTATTTATATAATGAGAAATTTTTTTAATTACTCCCATATCTCCCAATATATAAAACATGATATTCATTTTTTTTTTTTTTTTTTTTTTTTTTGAGGAATCAATTATTATAATTTTTACTAATAAGAAACTAAAGATATTTGAGGTCAAAGTAATGCATTATAAATTTATGGTCAAACTTTTCAATGTGTTAACTAGCCTTCTGATCCGTGCAATGCACGGATTGTTTATAAGTATACAATATTTTTTTATTTTTTTTTTATATAATATGATTTTTTTTTTTATTATTGGAAAATGAATAGTTTTTAAAAGAGAAGAAAGGGTGAAAATTAAATGTAATTGTAGAAGATATTAAATTGGGGGAAAGTGAACCAAACAGCATGTATTGAATTAAAGCTAGTGTTTTCTTTTTTAATATGAGAAAGGATATTTAAAAAAAAATAAAAAAGGTTAAATGAAGTGACATGTAGCATTGGTGAAAAATACAGTAAAGTTTACCTGTGGCATGATGGTTTGTGTTTTTAAATACTAAGTATAGATATAGATATAGATGTGTACTGCACAAAGTGTATTGAAAGTTAAACAAGAGCAACAATGTGTAATATATTATCCGTATGTAAGATCTTATTCTCTTCACCTAATATTTGCTAAACTGAAATTATTTCTAGTTATATATGAAAAATTAATTTTACGGCTTTTCTTTTAATATTTGCTCTATAAAAAAAATTGATTAAAACTTATTTTGCTGAGCTTAACTTGTTTTTGCTGAACTTAACATATTTTTACCGAACTTAAATTATTTTTACTTGATATTATTTGAATAAGGTGAAGAGAATATAGCTTTTATGAGTGGAAAATTTGCAAAAAAAATCCCAAACGTGCACGATACTTCCTTTGTTTAAAGATTATCTCCACTCTTATCATAGTCTTCTGTTTTAAATTAATTGCAACCTTTCTCACTTTGCCCCGCCAATGTGTGAACAGATGTGTAAAAGTTTTTTTCCACTCCCATATATAAATATAATTAACCCGCTACAATAATCGCACCAATATGATATACTTCGTATAAGCTAAAAAAGGATACGATGAATGAAACAAAACAAAATTACATTAATCAAAACGTGATTTTATCATGTATTTATAAACTAATCCTTAATTTTTTAGGAAGAATATTAACCATAAATATGACATTATTGCCCATAAAAATTACTCGTACTTGTAATTAGATTTTTGGCAAGTAAACATAAAATAAAGGGGATATTCTAAAATTCTTGGTTAGGTCCCTCAAAAAGTGAGATATTAATTACGACAAAAGAACCTAACATCAACATCTCCTTCGCGTAAATCACATGTATGATGATGTATCGGATTAAAAGCACAAAAGCCTTTCTTTCCCAAATAATTTGATAAATAAATTATTACTCGTACTTTTGTAAAATAAAAAACTTTACTTCCTTCCATTTTAAGGAATTTCTCGTAAGATTTGCAATTTCAAAGTTTGACTTAATTGCGTTGAAGTTTAGACAATCAATCCCAATGCTATATTTGTCGTTCTAAGAGTGGAAGCTCAACAAACAATCCTAATCATGTTCTTTATATTTGATTTTATACGATTATTTTTTCCAAATCTTATATCTAGATTATCTTTTTCAACTAGAAAATCAATCTTTTATTTGCATTAGGTAATACACATATCAAAAATAGATTTCTTTATCACTCCGTATTTCAATTGTAGAGCAATTTCATTCTTGATGTTTGATGTCATAAACTTTTACAATTAAATTGGCTGACACTGTAAGTCAAATGTACGCAAAGAATTATTTAGAAGAGTATATGTAAATATGTAAAAAAGTTAAAAAATAATCTTAAATAATCTTTGATTTTGAGATGCTAACTAAATTTCTGTTTAAGGACGACTCATTCCACTTCTTTTACTTTTTCCATTGTGCTTTTAAGAGAAAATAGAATGAAAAGTTGCAAATTGAACACAGACGAAGTATATGTCTGGATTTGAGTTAAGCTAGGGTGGGGTTGTGGGTTCTATTTCACCTTAAGAAAAATAAGTATTAAAGCTAATTAGGTCTAATCATGGTTAATCAAGTTAAATCAAGTGTGTGTGTATATATATATATGTAACATAAAAATCATGACTAATTAGGTCTAACGAGCTAAGTTCAAATAAGTCCAAATGTTACACCGCTCTAAAAGTTGATACACCTAAAAGTGTTTCAATATTCCGAAGAAATGCATGCTAAGAGTGTGAGATCTAAATTTTCATTTAAGTTGAAGTTTTGACTAGCTATCAAGCTATAAATTTAAAGTGCATCAATTTTAAGAAGAAAAAATCACTTCACTTAAATAAACACATAATTTGTACATAAAACTATTAATTTATTGTAATGTTAATACTATATTTTTTTTTTTTTGTTATGTTTTAACATATAGCGTATTTATAACATGAACGTTGGGGCTGCGTAACAATACCCTCGCATTAGGGTAAAAAAGAAATCCTTAGCCTCATATAGTCTTAATTAAAATGTCTGTCACTACACATTCCCGTTAAAAAAGGACACAATACAACTAGAATTGACTTGCCAATACTCTCTATTTGTTACCAACTAAAGCAATAGAAGGGATTTTTCCTTATAATGTAATTGCCCTGACACAGTTACTTTTTTTTTTCGGCCAAAGATTGGATCAAGTTGTTTTAACTCAACACGCTCATGCCTAATAAAGTAATAAGGTGAAGTTTTAACACCCTTTTATCAAATTTTGTAGTTTTTAGTTTTATTACACCAACAACAAAATTTCAATTTTTGCCTTTTTTTGTCAAACAAATACTCCATATATTAATTTAATCATTTTATTGATGGATCAATCATTGAATATAATATTGCTATGTAGTAAAAGAAATCGGAAGAATTTCAAGTTTAGAATGATATCAAAATGAAATCAATACATTTTGAAAACCTTTTATCTATGTTAAATCATCTAAAGTGTAATTTAGTAGGATAATCTAACTATGAGAACATAAATTAAACAATCCTTTTATTGAGATTTTTTTTTTAGCCTCTTTCTCTTTAATTTTGCATCTAGTAACCTTACCAAATAAGACCGCCTTTATTTTATTTTTATTGTTTTAACATCAACATTACTCCTGAACTTTTTTTAACCATCTCTAAATTCAGAAGTAAACAGAAAAGTAGGAAAGAAAAGTTACCTAAGAAAATCTAAACTTTTAAAAAAAAAAAAATCAGAAATATGGCTCTATTTTGTCACCTTTCCATTCTTTCTTTGTTCCTGCAACCTCTCCCCTTCTTCCCCCATTATTTCTCTCTCCTCTATTCAACTGATCGTGACGCAATTATATAATCTCTCTAATCGAGGATCTGATCCCATAATCCCCATCTTCTATCTTTTCTCTCTCCTCAATTTCATCATTACCCACTCTGTTATTTCCAATTTTCCCTCCAATTTATCAATTCCCCTGCTTCAGATCTGTTCATCAATTTTCTATTTTCTCAATTGATGACATTTTTTGCTCTTTTTTCTTGCTAAATTTCCAAACTTTTGATCGATTTTTTAGCTGGGTTTGAAGTAAAAGGTTTGAATTTTTGTGGGTTTAGTGAATTTTGGAGCAATAAAGAAAAAAAAGTCGAATTAAAAAAGGTGGGATTTTGAAGATGTTTCTATTTGGAGTAAGTTCGAGGATGCAATTTTTCTGGGGATTGATGATAAAAGCGACGCTTTGATTCTAATTTCTATTTATATTTGCAGCCAATTTGAGTGAATTTTCTTTCTGGGGTTTTAAATTTTAAGGTATGAATGATTTTGATCTTTTTTTTTCTTTAAATTGTTTGTAATCATAAATAAAAACTACAATACTTATTGATGATTTTATTATCGTTTGTCTTTTGGCTACTATGTTAAGGTCAAATATAAGAATTATTTTTAATAGTATAAAGATTTAATTACAATTTTTTTGTTGTTCGTAAAAGTTGCTAATGTATTTTCATTGCTTCGATTTTTTTTTTTTTTTTTTTTTTTTTTTGAATTGGAAACGTTTATCACATGCTCTTTTTGTACTTAATATGTGATTGATGTGTTTCAATGTTATGTGGGCCATGATTTTCTGTTTAGTTATCTAGTGTTGATCCTATGTAAACAGTTTGGATTATAATTTTCTTGTTTAGTTAACTTGTCTTAATCTATGAAAGTAGTTTGGATTATAATTATAATGTTCATGTTCAATTATCAGTGTTAATCTTTGGAACAATGGATTATAATGCATATGTTTATATATAGCTAGTGTTAATATGAAAAAAAAAATTGGATTATAAAGTTTATGATTAGTTAGTTAGTGTTAGTCAATAATAATAGTTCAGATTATGCTTAATAATACCGCTTGTATACCATTTTAATTATGCTTAATTTATCAATGAAGAAAATTTTGCAAGAAAAAAATGGTGAATTTTTCTGATCTTTCTTTGATTATATATATGTTGTGACTTTGAAGGTAATGGCAACACAAGTTGAGCCTCCAAATGGGGTTAGATGCCCAGGGAAGCATTACTAT